TATTCTTCCTCCTTTTTTTTTTTTTGGTGTCTTGGAAAGAAATACGAAGCTGTCGACGATTAACACGCGATGAATGTACTATATATATGTACCTGCCGACGCGAGCAAACAGGGCTTGAATTCCGAATGCGGTAGAGTTAACTTCACTGTGAGTTAACCTGTTTTATCCAACCTTTTGTCGCGATGCTACTGAGAGGGGCGGGGGGGGGGCGAGACTCACCCTAACTTCGACAATTTCTCGTTCAACCACAAGAGCCCAACGGGTAATTAACTTTTTGCGTGCTATTCAAGAGGAGTCACGGAATAACCACCAACTCGACCTAATGGCCATCTCGTTTGTCATTCTCGGAAAGTAAGAGGTAATCGCGTCTCATTCAAAGAAGAAGAAGAGCTACACGTGAAATTGTCCCCACTATATATTTTTCTTTATCTCCTCTACTTAACTTCTTTGGTCGCCTCTTTCAATTTAAATTAAAACGCAAAGTAAATTTCTCCCGCGGAATTTTCATTTTAAAACTTTCCAATTGGAAAAGTGAACATTTTGAGGGTTTTCAAAAGAGTCCAAAACTTATTTCAAACTGGTTTTTGGAATGGGAGAGAGGAAACTTAATGGAACTTTGTGTATATATCGCGTTAAATTTAAGAGGCTTAATGGCTGAAATCTTCTGGTTAAATTTAAGAATTTCATTACGCGACTTTAAATTGTTTCGTTCTAATGAGAAAATTCTAAAATTAATTTTGATTTGGAAAAAAAGAGGGAAATAATTCTCGAATTGAGAAAAGAGATGTAACGTTCAAGTGCGTTAATGAAAAAAAAAAAAAAATGAAAAATTCTGACAAATAAATACGGGAAAAAAATAAAAAAAGGTTCAATTTTTTTTTTTTGCAAAAATTTTATCAAATTAATGTCGAATAATTTCACATGAAATTACTATGAAAAATAATTAACGGCTATTTATAATTAACTTTTTTCGATGACATTAAACTTGTCATTAACGTGAAAATTTAATAGGTATAATTACTATATTTACATCAACGCCATTTGCTAGTACTTTATCAAAATATTTATATAAGAATTTTGTGATATATCATTTTATTTAAACCGTTAGCAAAAACGTGTTTCGTTACGCTTCACTGATGCCTATGTAGATTTTACTTTAGTGATTACTTAGAATTACAACATTTCTTTTTTTCTAATTCATTTACAAGTATGAAAAAAAAAAGTTATTATCAGACATCACTTTAAGTGGCAGGTTCATAATCATCAGTTTAACTACCAAGTATATAAACACTTTAAGTAAAAATTATCCTCACCTTCTCATCATTTACTTAGTAAAGAAAACGTCATTTAATTAAAAGTACCATTTTTAATTTAATCTAAAAATAATTTTTCAAACTAATAGTAATTTATTTTTAAATAAAAATACTTGGCTCAAATTTTAGTGCAATGAAGCTACGAAAAAAGGCGGAATAAAGCATTATTTTAAAAACCAAACAACATAATTGAAACGAGAAGAAAAATTACAACTAAAAACTGAAAAACGTATAAATAATAATAACCATTATTAATAAATATACGAAAACATACGTAAAATATTGGCTTCTTTGAGAAAATGTATAGAAAAAACATTTAGGGGGGTAGGAAACGATCAGAATAGGATATTTATCAACTTTAGTTGACAATAAGTAACAAAAAAAATAGTAACAATTTTTAAAGCAATAATTAATGCCCAGCAGCGTGGGGTAAATGTGAAATTTTTGGATTTTTTTTAGAAAATCGAGTGTAGAAAAAAATTTAGGGTCGTAGGAAACGATCGGAATACGATATTTATTAACATTAGTTGACAATAAGTAACAAAAACAATAGTAACAATTTTTATCTTAAAAATTAATGCCCAGCAGCGTGGGGTAAATGTGAAATTTTTTGGTTTTTTTTAGAAAATCGAGTGTAGAAAAAAATTTAGGGTGGTAGGAATCGATCGGAATACGATATTTATCAACTTTAGTTGACAATAAGTAACAAAAAAAATAGTAACAATTTTTAAAGCAATAATTAATGCCAAGCAGCGTGGGGTATATGTGAAATTTTTGGATTTGTTTTGATGGAAACACTACTTGTGAATTAATTTCTATAAGAATATATGTATATACATATATTTAATTTATTCAGAAGTTATTCTAGTTATTCAATTATCGCAAGTATCAATTTTTCATAAGAAGAGTATCGAGAAATTAGCTTTATAACTGCTGGAAGAGATTAAAACGATATTTTACATTTATATGACTCTCTCCAAGTTTTTATTTATTTAGACTCATGTATATTTTTACCATATATTTACTCTGTTTCGCGCTGCTGTACACCTATTCGAGAAGGAGTGACTTAATAAATTCCCTACCACTTATTTTCCACGTCTAAAGTCTGGGACATATATCTAAAACGTATTACAGGTAAAAACTACGAGTGGAATTTGTAGTATTCGCGAAGCACACGTTTGTTAACATCCCTATACACCAAGAGAGAGTGAGAGAGAGAGAGAGAGAGAGAGAGAGAGAGAGAGAGAGAGAGAGAGAGAGAGAGAGAGAGAGAGAGAGAGAGAGAGAGAGAGAGAGAGAGAGAGAGAGAGAGAGAGAGAGAGAGAGAGAGGGGTGATACTATGAAGATCAGAAACGACACTTCCTTAATAAGTTTCGCCTCCAATGTGTGCGTTAAATTATCATTTTTTTTTTTTTTTTTTGCATATATCTGCCCCATAAATTTTACAATGGGATTAGCACATGGTTTAATTAAATGGGTCTAGTAAAGTCGTTACCGGATACCTTTTTGAAAGAGCGAGGCTTCTCTACACATAAAACCAAATCAATACTACCTTTTGGGATCGTTTCTTTTTTTAACACACTTACAAACCCTTTATCAAGATTCAGAATTTTTAGGTTTAAAATTACTCTTAAGCAAATATTTGATAAAAATATTCTCACAGGTAGGGTGAGAGTAAAAATAAAATATTTCTAAATTTTAATATTGATGATAAAATGCCTATTTCGAATTATGGACACTCTAAATATTTAGTTACAGATGCAAAGATGTAATATTACCTGTAGAACATAATCAAAAATTTCCAAGAGATTTTATGTATATACGAAATTTAATGACTAGTTTAATCTGATTGGATAATTCGACCTACAGAGGCGCTGTAGTCGCGACCATGTGTTCGGATCAGGTGGTCTTATGGAGAATTTATCATGGTGAAACAAGTGTATTTAAGAAATTAAAATATAAACTTCTAGAAACAAGGTAAGTCGAATGATAATTAAAAAATTGTTTCCTCCTTTATTAGTTTATTTTAATATTTTCATTTTTGCAGATTTGGTGATTACTATATATTTGGTCGTGATTTTGTGTATTGTAAAGTTAACCTCAAAAAAAAGTTTGAGTTGCTGTTCACTTTTATTCATTAAAGCAATAACTGTTATTTATTATTAGGAATTAAAATATAAACTTCTAAAAACGAGATAAGTCAAATGATGTTAAAATGATATTATAAAAAATTGCTTCCTCTTTTATTAGTTTATTTTAATATTTTCATTTTCATTCAGTGATTACTATTTGGTCGTAATTTTGTGTATTGTAAAGTTAACCTCAAAAAAAAGTTTGAGTTACTGTTCACTTTCATTTATTAAAGCAATAACTTATTTATTATTCCTTTTATTCAAATTGTTTCAAATTTTTGATTTTAAATGATAATTTTTCTAAATTTTTTTTTTTAATAAAAAAAAAAAAGAATCTAAAATTATGAGGTAAAATTTAATGCAAAAGGGATTTAAAAGAGAAAAATCGTCGATTGAAGATGACTGTTGAAAGAATTTTCCATTTTAATATCCGTAGGAAGAGGGAAAATTTTACCCACTCTACTTTGAGAGAGAGAGAGAGAGAGTAACAATTGAGTTTTATTTTTTTTTTCTCAAAGAAGAGACGAGTAATAAAAAGATGGGTATTAGGTGTATGATGAAGGTTTGGTTTCCTCGAGTTCATTCACGAGAGAATTGAATCTCACTATTCATGGAGGGAGGGAGATGAAAAAGCGATTAATCGATGAATATTTAAAACTATTCTAATTTTTCTAAAAGATTTTTTTTTTCAAAAAAATTTCTTTCTATTCTACAATCTCCAATAACCATAGAAACCGCAAGTATTCCCAAAGGACATGTATACACATAGTTAGTAAGAGTTATTGTCTCCGGTAGGAAGTCGAGCGATAGTGGCAATCGATTCAGTTCAAGAATTTGACTCCCCCAGCTCTTGTTTTAAGTAATTTGTACACACATATATAGAACTATAATAACCAAGAACAAGATGTGTGATTAATAAGAGTAATATATTTTACTATATGCCACAGAATTAATTCCATACAAAATACACTAAAATCAGATTATTAATAATACTTTATGACACAAATTACATTACATAATGTACTTTTAACTGCCATAATAAAAAATTACGTGTCATAAATATATATATATATATATGATTCCTTCCCTATTTTTTCCTAGTGGATTGCTTCCACATAAACAGAAGGTTACAAGTTAAGTACTTCCTCTATATGAAGGGAACAAAGATTATTTACCTCGAATTAGGGGTGAAAATCGTTTAAAGTTCAATTTACCAACAAAAAATAGAAAAAGGGGACAATCACCGAAATTAAATAGTAATAAGTATATATTATAATTTGTAATCGATATGAAAATTATATCACCAAATTGAATTTTTTGGATATATTAAAATGAATATCTAATTAGAAAAGTTTGAAAATTTTTTAGAATTCGTTAAAAAGGAAAAAAAAAAAATTAAATTCCCAGCATCTGAAGTAAGCTTTCAGAATAATGGGTTGGCGAGAAAATAGGAAGGGGGTTGTCATATACAGTAAAGTACACACGTCTTTGAGTCAAGTCTTGAACTTTAAAAACTATATATATAGAGAGAGAGAAACCAGAGCATAACTCACTCGGCTTATCCAGATCAGATATCTCAACCTGCGAGTACACTGCAGCAACCTTCAGCAGTACCGACACCATTGTCGCGGCACTCCACCACCACATTTTCATTTTTTTTTCTTCCTTTTTTTCAACACAGACACAATGACATTATATCACAAGAGACACACACGCGTGTTCTTCTCCAAAAAAAAAAAAAAAAAAAAAAAAAAAAGAACCACACCAACCCTTCACGGTAACCCCCTTTTAACTTGGACCGCTCATGGTCTCTTTGTAATCCTGCACTAATTACTGCGCAGCATCGCACTTTTCATGCTCTCAAAAAGTGAATGCATGCGGGAAATTCGACACCAACTTCGTAGTATGTATTACCACTTGATATATCCTTTTTCGCCTTTTTTTTTTTTTCACCCCGATGAAATAAACGGATCGATGTTTTGTTCAAGTGTGCGCATCAATCTTTTATTCTCCTAGAACAATAACCACCGTTAACATCTTCCAAACGAAGTATCAATTTTTTTTGCATATAAAATCTGCTATTTGAAATCATCTTTCTGAACGAGTTTCACATTTCGGAGTTTCTTGACTATTTTTTCCTTTTTTTTTTTTTTTTTTTTTAATCTATGTTCCTTTCTGCTTTTATCATACTAAGTAATATGTTTTATTATCATATCACATTTCTAAATTTTAATCTCTATTTTGTGTGTTTTTGTCATTTTTTCCCCCTCTTTAAGTTTCAATGAAATTTGAGAATATTGAATTCTGAATTTTGCCATTTTATTGTCATCGTTTGATTATTTCTTTCTCTTTTGTTTGAACACTCTTTTCTTGTTCTGTTTCGATTAAATAGTCGAATTACAATTTTAAATTTGTATATTTAATTTGGTAAATAAAAGCGGCGAGAAATATCTGCTGATAAATGATTCGATTCATTAGAACAATATTATAAAGGATGCCCGAAACTTTGTATATCGTGCACAAAATAGCAATGGATAAAATTTGTTTAAATTCTAATTTCTTTTTTCAACAAAATTGATTTAAAAATCAAAAATTCTTATTCGAAAATTTTTCTTGAAATTAGTTTTTTTAATTAATAATTTTTCTGCATAACATAATTTTTGGGAAGAAAAAAAAAATTTGTCAGAATTTTTATTATCCAAGTAAGTTTCGATGAGTAGTAATAATAATAATAATAATAATAATAATGTGTGAGGGGGAAATAGCACAAGGGGAGAAATAATAGGAGTCACTGAGCACAGTTTCATTCATAGAAAGATATGGGATCGTGAAGAGAGCATAAAGACAAGATCGAACGAAATTTCCCCCATTAGGGATGGAACCACGTCGAGTCGTAACCCGTGGCGGCTCGGTACTGAACCAGTCTGAACCATTGAAAACCACGAGAGACTGCAGCACGAGCCAACTCGGTATTTCTCGGGATGATTCGACTTTATTCGTATATAGCAAGTCGACATCAGGCTTTAGCGCTCTCTCTCTCTCTCTCTCTCTCTCTCGCTCTCGCTCTCGCTCTCTCTCTTATACTGCAGATCGCTATGATTTACAGGGACAGCTAATGACTCGCCATAATCGCCGCGTTGCAGGCAGGATGCAAAACGGGAGATGCATACATTCAGAACATCGAATCCCAACGTCGATCGCCGTATCTAAATCAGCAGAATCCGGAAGCTCTATCCGCTCTAGATGCCTCAAATGTGCTCATGGATTTGAGATTTTCAGGGATATATAGATTGAAATCATATACCTTTGATGTATCAATTTATGGATATGACAGAAATCACAAACTATTCCATCATTTTTGAATATATTTGACCACAAGAATGTTTTACCTGATGCAAAATTCTCAATAATTTAAAATTTGGTTATACCAAAAAAATATTTGGATAAAACAAATAATATTTAAATTTCATTTCAGTATAAAAGTAGCAAAAACTAAAATAGAAGTGATTAATAAATATCTAATTTTCGAAAAATGGAGCAATAATTCGAGTCCTAAAAATCTATGAATATATTCAAAAAAAAAAAAACAAGAAAAGAGGTTAATGACAATAAACATTCAAATCCCATTTATTTCCGATGAGTGAAATCATTCATTTAACGCGGAAAATCAGTGAATATAACATCTTTCAACTCATAATCAGGGGGGCGTTAAATTATTTTCACGCACGTGGCGGTAGAAGCGTTAGAGGGGATATTTCCATTAGTAACGGATGTTGCTTTTCTATCCACCAGATATTATTGATCACCAGTAATAAATCTGGACCGACGCATGTTTTACCAAAAAATTTCAAAACTTCTCATTCGGAGGGCGAAAAATTATATATAAAAAAAGAGAAGAGGAAAAAAAAAAATGCTTTATACACATCGAGATCATCAATTTTCATCCAGAATTTCCATTAAATTATATTCTTGTCAACATTATAGTCTTCAACTTTTACTCTCAATCAATTATATTATCCATTTTAATATCATTTTTTCCCCCTTATATTTTTATTCAATATTTTTCTTAAAAATTAATTTTTTACATTTCAAATAAAATTGTCCCTCCGATTGTAAATACTGAAAAAAGGTTAGAGCCATTTTTGAATTGCAAAAGTTTCCTTTAGGAAGAGAAAAATAATTATCGATTTCGCGTAAATTGTCTTTTTTTTTTGAGAAACATTTTCTGAAAAGACGAGAGATTCTAAAGTAGAATAAAAAATCAAATTGACGCATATATCTTTTAGGGGGAAATTTAATTTAAAATTAATGTAGCAATATAAATTAATAATTCTCAACAGAATAGAAAAGCCAGATCATAAAACATAATTCCAGATAAAATTAGATGAGAATATGGTTATATATATTCATTTATTTTTGATATATCAAATATAATATATATATAGGGAATATCTTAAACGTTGAATAAAGCATGACTAATCCGGCTTTATTTAAAGTAAGCATTGGTTCAAGAGATTAATACTTCTCATGCTGCAGCCCAAGTTTCCTTAATCTTTACTTATGCAAAACATGCGCTAAAAACGTGCGCTATTAAATCTTACTCTACTTTATAAAGTTTTCTGTACTTTATTTACTTTGTTTACTTACTATAAGCTTTAATGGTATTATTTTAAATTCCCTTCAACTTTATTGTTTAATAATCAAATGAAGTTGCAAAGTTTTTTTTTCTCTTCATTTTTAAAGCCAGAAATTAACAAAAATGAAGAAATATAACATAATGTATAATAAGAGAAATTAAAAAAATTTATAACTTTTATATAGAGAAGTCTTTTTAAATTTATAAATTTGTTAAAAATAAATAAGTTCTTTTAAAAGTTAATATGATTTTAATTATTTGCAACTTTAATGTTCAATTCTGATTTTAGTTTTGCTGACATATGAAATTAAGGTCGTTATTTCCGTTTCAATTTGGCACAGATTGAGGCAGTTCAACTTGGAGTAAAAAAAATAAATATAAATACATACATACATACTATGAAGAAGGGTAAAAAAAATATTTAAAAAAAATTTTAAAGTATATAAATACATAACCCAAACAGCATAACATATTACCATAATATCCATTTCCACTTATTCCAATTTCCATTCCCACTTCCAGTTTTTCTAATTCCCACTTCTATTTCCACTTTTTCCAATTTCCAATCCCACTTCCATTTCTACTTCCACTTTTCCCAATTTCCATTCCTACTTCAATTCCCACTTCCACTTTTTCCAATTTCCATCCTCACTTCCATTTTCACTTCCCGTTTTTCTCATTCCCACTCCCACTTCCACTTTTTTGGATTTCCAATCCCACTTCCATTTCTACTTCCACTTTTCCCAATTTCCATTCCCACTTCAATTCCCACTTCCACTTTTTCCAATTTCCATCCTCACTTCCATTTTCACTTCCCGTTTTTCTCATTCCCACTCCCACTTCCACTTTTTTGGATTTCCACTCCCACTTCCATTTCCACTTCCTTTTTTTACAATTTCCATTCCCTCTTCACTATTTGAACTTCCAATTTTTTAATTCCCATTTACACTTTTCCAATTTCCACTTTTTTTAAATGGAAGCAGTCAAAGTGGAAATTGGAAAAGTGTAAATGGGAATGGAAATTAAAAAATTGAAAGTGCAAATAGGGAAGTGGGAATGGAAATTAAAAAAAAAGGAAGTGGAAATGGAAGTGGGAGTGTAAATTGAAAAAAGTTGAAGTAGAAATGGAAGTAGAAATTAGAAAAAATGAAAGAGCGAACGGAAATAAAAACGGGATTGAAAATATATTTACATAATCATAATAAATAAATAAATTTACTACTACTTTGTTTTAATTCATTTTTGACTTTTTTTTTTATAAAATCCAAGGTGAATAACGGCTCTAGAAGATATCTGATTGCGTCATACGCATCACTACAAATGCGAATGCAAAATTTGGAATCATGTTTGTATATATATATATATATACATACATATATGAGGTTTGACGATATTTTACAACAGAACACAGAACCGCTTTCATATATTCTCGAAGCGGGAATTGAGCGACCAGACATTGCCATGCATCATGGTACATCGTCGAACACACAGACTGTTAAATCAAACCCCCGTGCATTGGATACCATGACATGGTATCCGATGCCTATTACATTACATAATAGCTTTTCAGTGTGTTTCTGACTTTGTGGATATAAACCATAAACCGCGTCAGTCACGCACCATCTCAGTGTCCCACACGTTTGTCAATTTTTTTTTTCACACTTTTTTCTGTTTAAAAATATATACATTCATTCAAAATGAAGATGAAGGTTTTTCCATTCTGTTCTCTCGACGAATACTAACTAATACTAACTAATACTAACTAATATTAACTAATACTAACTAATACTAACTAATACTAATTAATACTAACTAATACAAACTAATATTAACTACTAATAATAACTAATACTAACTAATACTAACTAATACTAACTAATACTAACTAATACTAACTAATACTAACTAATACTAACTAATACTAACTAATACTAACTAATACTAACTAATACTAACTAATACTAACTAATACTAACTAATACTAACTAATACTAACTAATATTAACTAATACTAATTAATACTAACTAATACAAACTAATATTAACTACTAATAATAACTAATATTAACTACTAATAATAACTAATACTAATTAATAATAACTAATACTAACTAATAATAACTAATACTAACTAATACTAACTAATACTAACTAATACTAACTAATACAAACTAATATTAACTACTAATACTAACTAATACTAACTAATACAAATTAATACAAATTAATACAAACTAATACAAACTAATACAAACTAATACTAATTAATACTAACTAATACTAACTAATATTAACTACTAATAATAACTAATACTAACTAATACTAACTAATAATATAATATTTAATATTAATATAATAAAAATATAATATTTCTGTTTGAAAATAAAAAAATATTCGTCAAATTTTTTTATTCTCTTTTATATTTGTGATAATAGACCTTTTTTCGGACTTGAATGAACTAAAGGAAAACATTTTTTTTTCTTTTTTTCTATACGGACACGTGCAGATTTGAATTTAATGGAGAAAGTCATATTTCATTTGGAACTTTTAAACATCTAAATATTTTTGAAACGTTTGGAGAACCCTTCAAAAAGAATAAAATAAAATAAAAAAAAAAAAAAAAACAATTCCAGAAAGGAAAAAGTCTTTTTATGAACTTCAATTACAAGCTTAAAGGCAATAAAATTTCCTTAGTGAGTCGGTTTTACTCAAACTGTTAATCCTTTCATTCTGGTGAACATATGATCACCATATAGCTCCATTCAAACCATTTTTCTTTTCTTACTCTCAAAGTTTTCGTTTTTTTCAAAGAGATTATTTACGGTTTTATTTTTTTTTCGTTATGTTAAATATTTAATTTATTTGGAGATAATGAAAATCATAATAATTTTAAAATTATTATTTTAAAAGAACATTTAAATTTTATCTTTCTTATTTCCTTAAAAAAAAAAATATATATATATATTTTGTACTTTTTTCTAATTCATCTCTCTGAATTTCATAGGACATTTAGTTCGAGGTTTTCGAATCATTTGTAGTAAAGGAAGATCATTTCCGAGAAGTAGTGAGAATCGCAAAATACGGGAAAACTTAAGTGGAAAATCTGTTATTTTCTTCTATTTTTAAGTTCAAAAAAAAAGAAGGAAAAATCCATAGAATATGTAGTGGAAAAGACGAAGGAGTAAAAAAAAAAAAAATAGGTAATAGTTTTGACGGTGGTTAATCTATGGTACGGTCGGAATCGTAACGCCAAAAAGGGAACGGG